GGGGGGGGGTGGAGTGAGGAGGGGGACAGGTGGGCAGGTGTCCTGGCACCCATGGGTGACACCCTGGCTGGGGCCCAGGGGATGGGAGGCCACCCAGAGCACTGCACCCATGGGTGCTGCCCAGCTCAGCACCCAACCAAGGGGCACCATGACCATTGCACCCATGGGCGTCACCCAGATCAGCACCCAACTGGTGGGCACCTTGCCCACACCCTGGTCCCCTCCCCAGGCCGTCCCGCGCCGCGTGGGCACCTTGAGGTCCTCGAAGAGGCGCTGGGTGAGGACATGGTTGCAGAGCCGGGTCACCTTGTCCAGGGCGGCGTGGGCCTGGCGCCGGGGCTCCTCGCTCTCCGGGTGCCCAAACTGTGCCAGGCGCTCGGTGAAGGTCCTGCAGTGGGGAGGTCAGTGGGTGCTGCTGGGGACCCTGAGCACCCTGAGCACCCCAGGGACCGGGGGGGGTGGGGTGTGTGTGCTTAGGGTGGCCTCACCTGAAGGGGGGACAGCAGTTGACCAGGGCGATGGCCCGGCTGGTGGCACCATCAGGTGGGGTGGCCTCACCGGGGGCCTCCAGGAACCGCTCCACCTTCCGCTGGAAACTGAGGGAGCTCACACGGGTCACCTGTGCTGGCACTTGGGGGATACAGCACCCAGGGAACCAAACACCCAGGGGACCTGGCACCCAGCGAACCCAACACCCAGGGGACCTGGTACCCAGGGGACCCAACACCCAGGGGACCTGGTGCCCAGGGGACACAGCACCCAGGAGGGGACCCAGCACCCAGGGAACCCGACACCCAGGGGACACAGCACCTGGGGAGCACCCAGCAGACCCAGCACCCAAGGGACCTGGCACCCAGATACCACACTCATCCTGTGCCCCCTGTGCCCCCCATGGCCACCCCAGCTCTGTCCTGTGGCTCCTGTTGCCCCGCGCCTGGTGTCCCCACACACCCTCCTCACGTCCCCCATGTGTACCCGCCTTGTCACCTGCCCACCTGTGCAGGAAGGCCACCAGCACCCCCAGGAGGCTGTGTGCCATCTCCCTGCCAAATTCCGGGGTGATCTGGGGGGCT